TGCTTTGGCAAGTGTATCTGTTGATATTCTTCTAGAGCGGTCTGAGAGACCTCACCTCCCTCTCAGTGTTACAATTTTCGGCAGTAGTAACACATGGCTCTTGAAGTTAGGTCCGCGGAGATTCATTTATCCTTCTGATCCACGTTATGAATGAAAAAAATTCTAGACGAAGTTGGAAGTAATTTTAGTGAAGAAGATGACTGTGAAGAAAAGTTCTGCGAAAAAAAAAAAGGCGAGCAGTGGTTTTGATGTCATCATTGCATCATTCGATAGAAACAGACTCGGAAACACAGAAACCTGAAATAATTGTTTTTTTATAAGAGAACCAAAGGTGGTGTTGATGCTTTAGATGAAAAATGTTCTGTCCATTCCTGTAGTAGGAGAACAACGCGTTGGCCTATGGCTCTTTTCTACCGGTTAGTAGATACGTATGAGTACAGTAAACGCATACATTTTGCACCAAGGTTATAACCAAAACCTGTTATGACCAGAATGGTGTTTTTGAAAGAATTAGCGAGAAAATTAAGTCCAACCACTACTACACACGAGAGGGAAAAATCCAAGAATAAATCGAGAATTGCGCCTGACGATAAAGCGGATTTTAGGAAAAGAAGCTGAGTCTAAGGATGTGAAGCAGTGCACAAAAGAAGCTGAGTCTAAGGATGTGAAGCAGTGCACAAAAGAAGCAAAATTAAAATCAAGGAAAACATGTCGTCTGTGCCCCCCAAGCAAGAAAAGAAAGACCAGCATATTTATGTTTATCTTTCCAAGACCCTGTTAGTTTGGAATGCAAGCAAAAATTATGCAATGAATATGCTTAAAGAAGACGAAAACTCAAATTGTTTACTATCAGAAAATCAGTGAGATACTGAATTTTAGGTACTGTCAAAAATTTTTGTATTGTGCTACATACAATTTTCTGCGGTTAAAATTTGCTTTAAATATTAACTAATATAGATAAAATAGTTAATTCAAAATAGATGCATTCTTATTTTTAGTTTTATAGAATTTAGTGCAGCATATGATTTTCATCGAAAAATTTGAGGTTATGGGGAAATTTTCTGGGAAAAATTTAATTTCACTTTAAAGTGTAAAAACATATTTTCTTTTCAGACTAAAATGTTCAAAGAACATATAAGTGAAATATCATGATGATATTTTAATTAGACGATTTTTAAAAATTTATTATAATGCGCGGTCTCTGAGACCGCACGTCCCCTGTTATGTTCAACTTTTTCACCTCCCCTGTTACGGGTTAAAATTCACAGGACTTTTCATCTTCAGTAAATGATATGCACATATTAGGCAAATGTGTTAAAATTTAATTTGTAGACAAAGGGTGGCAGATACTTTAAATTCATCAGATAAAGAAATCATGCTGCAAACATAAACAAATAGATATGCACGATTCCAGCTGCTGTAAACGCAACATAGTTTTAATGGATACTATCTGTGAAGGAGAGTTGTTTCTCTTTATATTTCATTTTTTAATGAACAGACATGCAATTATTCTGACATCACATAACTGTCAAAGCACATCCACAACTTGAAAAACTGTAATTGTATGATATCCAGGTTAGATTTTATTCGAGCCATCTTACAGCTGACACCCCTATTAACAGATCTAAGAGATTTGGTAGACTGCCGATTAGGATCGAGATATCTGTGTCAGAAAAGGTGCGAACATTCTTTTCGATGAAACACATCGCTCTCTGCTCTCCAAAATGGGAATTTTGAAAATACTTGAAGTAACAGTATATTTTGAGAGCTAATTCAGTGACCTGCTAACATCAAAATTTAAGTTATCTTGTAGCATCTTATATATATTGTTACGAATTTCATAAATGTATGAATAATTTTGGTGAAATGTCATATGAAATTGTTGTAGTTTTCTGTGTAATGTAACATGAAAAACCTGAAATAATGCTTTGCTGAATAAATAAGAATACAGGGTCAAGCTTATTTAACATTGAGTGAAAGGCTATCTCTCTCATTCGCGGAGATATCGCCCCATTGGCAACGATTTTGGCGACTAATTTTTGTTTTCAAATTTGGAGACAAGTCGCCAACGTTGGCAAACATTTGGTCCGGTCCCTGTATAACTTAAATGGATATTTAAACTGAATAATTGAAATTCATTCCTATAATCCTTTCCGTCCCTCATATGCTTTTCCGTAATTTCGAAAAGCAGAAAGTTCTACTTTTTTGGCTGCTGGGGAAAAATTATATAAGATCGAAGAGAGCGTCAGTTTTTCAGTTGTTAGTTGTTAGTTCAAAGCTGAAGTCGGAGTACTGATATCCAAGAGAGTTTCGTCTTTTAGATGCGTGTGGCGACAATCATTCTGGCTTAATCGTCTCCCGAATAATATCCAAGCTATTCTTGCCTCCAGTAACGAGAACCTACCCCAAATGGCCCAAATGGCAGACAAAATTCACGATGTTCTCCAACCACAAGCAATCAGTCAAGTTCAGCATCCCAGTGTTGATATTTCATCTCTTCAACAACAAATCCAGGAATTATCATTGCAGGTCGCAGCCTTACAGACACGATCTCAGTATCATCCGCGCGGTAGATCAAAGTCCCGGAACCGAAATAATAGGGAATACCAACGCGCTCATTCTGGTACTCAATCAGACATTTGTTTCTATCACAGCCGATTCGGTGATAAAGCGCGCAAGTGTACACCTCCATGCAAATTTCAGAAGACCTCTTTAAACTGAAGGGGCCGTCACTCGAAGTCATGAGTGACAACGGCCCGTGCATTAGTCGATTGTTCGTAACAGATAAACCATCAGGAAGACGTTTTCTTGTTGATACAGGTGCTGACATTTCGGTTGTACCTCCCTCTTTTGAAAATTTAACTTATTTGCAGCTAACGGGTCAAAAATTGCAACATATGGAGAAATACTGATGTCTTTGGATCTAGGATTGCGTCGTAAATTTCAATGGCCATTTGTCATCGCTGCGGTTTCGCACCCAATAATTGGTGCAGACTTTCTGCAAAAATTTTCTCTGTTGGTCGACAAAAATCGACGCTTACTCGACTCCATCACACAATTGTCCGCGGTAGGTAGCATTGGAAATGCCACTAATTTTGGAATTAAATTAATTTCCGGTAATTCTCCTTTCCACAAACTACTTGAGCAATACCCTAACTTCATCCGCTCAGTAACTGGCAAACCGACTGAACCACGGTATTGTGCACGTCATAGAGACTACTGGACCACCAGTCTTTGCCAAAGCCTCCAGAGAAATTAAAGGCTGCAAAAGAAGAACTTAAATGCATGCTTGAGCAAGGAATCTGTCGGCCATCTAAAAGTTCATGGGCCAGTCCACTCCACATGGTCCCTAAGAAAAAACGGCGACTGGCGTCCTTGTGGGGATTATCGACGTCTTAATTCAGTTACTTTGCCTGATAGATATCCGGTTCCTCATATTCAGGACTGCATGCAAGTCTTGGAAGGCAAAAATATTTTTTCTACGTTAGATTTGACTCGTGCTTACCATCAGATCCCTGTCAATCCACCTGATATACCAAAAACTGCTGTAATAACACCTTTTGGATTATTCGAATTTCCTGTCATGACTTTCGGGTTATGTAACGCTGCGCAAACGTTTCAGCGCTTCATTAATGAAGTCCTTCGAGATTTAGATTTTTGTGTCCCATATTTCGATGACATTCTGGTAGCCTCGACAACTGAAAACCAGCACCTTGAACACCTTTGCATAGTCCTTGGCCGATTTCAGTCTTATGGTGTAGTCATTAATCCATCAAAATGTGTTTTTCGGGAAATCTAAAGTGTCATTTCTTGGTCACGAAGTTTCTTCGGAGGGCGTTCGCCCACTTAGTGACAGAGTCACTGCAATTCAAAATTTCCCAGAGCCAAAAACTGTTCAGGAGCTGCGTCGTTTTCTGGCCATGTTAAATTTTTATCGTCGCTTTCTTCCTCATGCCGCTGAAAAGCAGGCACTTTTGCACACATATTTGGTTGGGAGTAAAAAAAGAAAGATACGCGGCCAATTATTTGGTCTGATGATGCCCGTACAGCCTTTGTACAATGTAAGAATGACTTAGCGTCGGCAACAGCTCTTAGCTATCCTTCTAAGCACCCTTTAGCATTAATGGTTGACGCGTCTAATACGGCCATGGGTGCGGTTTTGCAGCAACTGGTAGACGGAGCATGGAAGCCTCTGGCTTTCTTCTCGAAAAAATTTTCTGCAGCGCAATCAAAATACAGCACGTACGACCGCGAACTTCTTAGTGCGTATGAGGCTGTTAAACATTTTCGTCATATGGTAGAAGGTCGTGTGTTTTCTATCTATACCGACCACAAGCCGCTAATTTTCGCTTTTCGACAAAAGCCTGACAAGGCTTCTCCCAGGCAAATGCGTCATCTTGATTACATAGCGCAGTTTACAACCGATTTTAGGCATGTAGAAGGCCCTCAAAATACAGTTGCTGATGCTCTGTCCAGAATTGAAGAGGTTCAGTTGCCATCAACAACAGATTTCTCCGCCATTGCTGAATGCCAGAAACAGGACCCAGAATTGCAACATCTTTTGTCTGACAAGTCTTCTCATGGACTTAATTTAGTACCTATGCAGTTAGAACCAGATCTTTCACTGTACTGCGATGTGCAAGGTAATGTGGTGCGGCCATACATTCCACTGAAATTCCGGCATGGTATTTTTAGCGGCCTCCATAATTTATCCCATCCTGGCATCCGTGCTTCTCGCACGTTAATTCAACAGCGTTTTGTATGGCCTGGTATGCAGAAGGACATCGCTGCATGGGCGAGGTCATGTACAGACTGTCAAAAATCAAAAAATTCACAGGCACACTCGAACTCCATGTCAACGCTTTGAGTTACCATCTGCTCGCTTTAGCCACGTACATATCGATTTGGTTGGACCCTTACCCCCATCACTAGGTTATACATATCTTCTTACGTGTGTCGACAGATACACACGTTGGCCAGAGGCTATCCCTATTGTAGATATGTCAGCCGACACTGTGGCAAAAACCTTTTTTTCTGTATGGATTTCACGGTTTGGGGTACCCGAGTACGTTACCACGGACCAAGGACGGCAGTTCGAATCTCAATTATTTACTGCATTAACAAAATTCTTGGGAACTAAAAAGATCCGTACATCACCGTACCACCCGAATTCCAATGGACTTGTCGAGAGGTTCCATCGCTCTCTTAAACAGGCCATTAGATGCCATACTGCTATTCACTGGGTTGATGTCCTTCCTACTGTGTTGTTAGGACTCAGAACGGCTATCAAAGAGGACCTGGGTTCTTCAAGTGCTGAAATGGTTTATGGTACCAATTTACGTTTACCGGGAGATTTTATAAATCCCGCAAAAAACTCACCCAATGTCCAGCCCCATGCATTCCTCAAACAATTGCGCGTGAAACCATGGCTGCATTACCCTAAGCCCACAAGCATACATTCTTCAAGACCTGTGTTTGTGCCTAAAGAACTCGCTACATCCTCACATGTGTTCTTACGGTGTGATGCATCAAAAAAGTCCTTGGAGCCTACCTATACAGGCCCACACCTAGTTCTAAGTCGCACATCCAAGAACTATCGGATACTAATCGGCGACAAAGAGACAGTGGTGAGCCTTGATCGTCTCAAACCAGCCTTTATCTTAGCACCACAAACTGTCGAGACTGGTACATCAGTCCCACCTCCTTCGAAGGCACCTTCATCTATTGGGTCTACACCAACATCTGCTACTACGTCAGTTCCTGTGCCTGGATCCCAGAAAACAAGTGCTCCTCAGTATACACGTTCCGGACGTAGAGTCCGATTTAACCCTCGGTACCTTTAATTCGTTGCCACTGGAGGGGGAGTAGTGTGGCGACTCTGTAAACATGTGTTGTACTCGCCAACCGCGCGCCGTTATCACTAACTGTAACCGAAGGTGATTTCGGCGACACACAGTCACGTCTTGTCTGTCTGTCTCGTCGTCGGTGCGGTTGGTCGCTCGCTTTTCCTCCAACGTGACTGTCTATCGACTGTAGTAATTAAGTTTTAATATTATGATGTGATTAAATGTTTTTGTTATCAAAAATTGGCTCTTATGGCATGTTATGAACTCATCCTTAAAAGCACTGGCAAATTCCAATACGCATAGTTTGTTGTTGCACACAGCCGCAACCACGTGCAACAATGCGCTTTGCATAGCATTGTGTTTAATGTTCTTACTAGTTTGCAGTGTAATTACTGAATAGTAATGACTGTATTCTGTGATAAAGTAAAGCGCTGTACGAGTATTTTTGTATTCCTTTTGGTAAAATAAATTTGATCAATTTGTCATCGATTCTGTGTGCATTCAATGCATTACGAACTAGTAGCACAGAAGAATTTTTTGTGCCAGGAGTGGGGTTGAATGCCAATGACAAAAGCGAAAAAGTAGCAACTAAGACAGTTGCTACTTTTTGTATGTAGTATTTTTGTATATTTTGGCCGCCTTTGCTGCTTTAAAAGAAGAGATGAAAACGAGACAAGATGAATGAAACCGTTAACTAACACCGTCGAAGGAGAGATGGAACCTACTCCAAGGAAGTTGGCAGTTTAAAGAAGACCATAACGACAGCTGGTCACTATTCTAACACCTTTAAATTTGAATATAAGTCGTCCCGCTCATCTCTAAAGCTATACACATATGAAGAAAGACAAGGCAAGTGTACAAGAGACAGTACACCATAGAGACAAAAGTAAATGGATGGGATTCCGAAGCTAAGGCCTGCTATCTCGTCGCTTCTATAAGAGCAGACGCAACAGATGTCCTCCAAACTCTACCCGAAAACTAGAGGCTAGACTTCTGGACAGCCAACCATACTTACAACTAGGGAAAATCAATGCCATACTAAAACTATAGTTTCAATAAATAACATAAAACAAATAAAATGTTAAACCAGTAAATAATTCCATAAAGTTACATATTTATATACAAATGTGACCATAACTTAGTATAGTATTTACATTATATACACTATGGGACTACGTACTATGGACATAGTAAGGGGCTAGCCTGTCGTAATGAATGACTTTAGGATTAGAATTTGATAATAACTTACAAATCTGACATGAAGAAAAATACTTTCTCCTAAACTACAGCCACCTTAGGACGGCGCTTACACAGTCCTAAACAGGCTGAACGATATCTAGTTCGGATCTGTAAGTCATCAAATTCTAAGCCTAAAGTCGTTCATTACGATAGGCCTAGTCCCTTACTATGGCCATAGTATGTAGTCCCCATATAATGTAAATAATATACTAAGACCATAATCATATTTGTAAATTTATTTATTGGTTTAGCATTTTATTTGTTTTATGTCATTGATTGAAACTATTGTTTTAGTATTGCATTGATTTCCCTTAATTGTAAGTATGGCTGCCTCTCCAGGGATTCTAGTGCTCGGGACGTGCAGTCCTTGGAAAGGGGTACTGTTACTAATTTTGTACATATATGGATCATTTTGTGAAATTTATATAAAATTGCTATTTTTTCTGTATAATATAACACAAAAAGTTTGAAACAAACGATGCTCTGTCGGAAAAATAAGAATTCAAGGGGAAGTTTATTTCACATTGAGTAAACGCCCATCTCGCTAATTTGGCGAGATATTGCCAAGCTGGCAGCAGTTTTGGCGACTAATTTTTTTCGCCAAACCTGGCGACCATTTTGGTCCGGGTCTCTGCATAACTGTAATGGGTATGGTAACTGAATAACTGTAATTGAAACCGTATCCGGTCCTTATATGGCTTCAATAATTTCGAGAAGCATAGAAAGGTCTAGAGCAGCGGTTCTCAACCTTTTGACCGCCACTACAAAGTACTACTACCGCGACCACCACTCTAGAACAAAGCTCAGATCGCAAAAATTTACGAGTGTTAGAGAAAAAATCTCAATCAGAATGTTAGGGTTTTAATGTTTGAATTTAATAGTTAAAAATACTTTGAGTAGCACCTATTTTTCTCTTGCATACCACCGGTTGAGAACCCCTGGTCTAGAGATTTCTCTGTGGCCAGAGGAAAACTATATAAAACCGGAGAGACAACCAATTTCTCAATTGTCAGTAGATCTGAAGTCGGAAGACTACGATATCCGAGAGAGCTTCGGCTTTTAGATGAGCTTTGCATTGCGTTGTGTTTTACGTTCTTAATAGTTTGAAGTTTAATTAATGAAGTGTACTCTGTGATACTGTGAAGTACGAGTGTTTTTGCGGAAAATTCCAGAACTATGAAGTGTTTCTTTTTGGTAAAATATTTTTATCAAGCTGTCATCAGTTCTGTATGCATTCAGTATATTAGGAATCCGTACGACGCAACAATATGAAATTACCGCAGCTGTTTTGCTTCATGCTTCACAAAGAAAACTTCGAAAATCAAAAATTTTGTTTGCTTGAGTGAATGATGTTCAACGTCAAAATAAAAAAGAAAATACATAAAAAATAATATATGAATTTTATTTACATTTATTTTCATACATCAGTTTGCATAATAAAGTTACTTTCCAAACAGTTTTTAAAAAAGACATAATCCAGTGTTCCAAATAACCATTTCACCCGAAGTTTATTACCCGATTTCACAACATGAAAACATGAAATCATGAAACATGAAATCAAGAACGTCATGAAAAGAATTTGTAGACTAAATGAATGAATATATAGCCCAACAAGTTTCAGATTGGAAATATTTCAGTCAGGTACAGTGAACAGTAAAATAAACGAGCCGCTGCAAATCAAGGATTTTAATTTACAGCAGCCTATGAAATATACATATATATATAATCTATATTATGGACAATATTCACACACAATAAACACAAAATAAATAAATATATTTACAGTTCCTTCAAAGTATTACTTACAGGATAATACAACATGGCAACATTGTAAACTAGCCTTTGGTTTTTGGCTACCAAGCTTCAAAAATTTATTAATTAATTTATAGTTAACGTTACATAAAGAATTATCAGTACCGATATCGTAAATGCGCAAATGCTTATTTAAAGCGCACATACGCAAAAGAACTGGTGTTCCAAAAGAGTTAATAGAAGTAATCTTTGAACGACTTTATAAAAAGTTACACAAAGCACAGTCCTAAAATTTTCAAAGCGTTTAAAATTATTTTCGCATAACTTCGCAATGAATTCCGTACACTGCTTAGGTTTAAATATTTATTTTCTAAACCAATTAATTCTTGAAACTTAAGTAATAATAAACGTAAAATAAAATTTTCAAAACTTGGAAAAATAAAATGTAACATAATGTTGAAGTGGGTCCATTAACTTAAAAAGTAGAAATTCCGCGGACTTGCAAAGCCACAAGTTTTTGATAGCATATGACTATCACTATGTTCTGGGAAGCCTGGAACTAACGAACTGAGCCGAGATTTGGTTTTAATAGGAGAAAATTAATATTTATCCAGTAATCGTTTTTTTCTCGAAAATAAAATATGTTCTCTGCGCTGTGCATTGAATGGGGAGGATATCATTTTATGAATGGGTTCATTATTCATGTGCGGAAGGAACAACATTTAAATTTTATTAAATGATAATGGATTTCAATATAAGTGACATTAGTACAAATTTCTAAGGAAGTTTCAGCAGTGTTCATTATAGAAATCATATTTGTTTTATGTTCAAATGACAGATGAAAACTGTTCTATTGCAAAATGCAACCAGTATTAAAAAAGCAAAAATAAGAAGGCAGTTCGACATATTAGTCTAATTATTCTATTAAACTAAGCTCAGTGGCGTAACAGCCCTAATGGGTCAAGGCCTGCAGTGCCCGAAATCTGCTTTCTGGACCGTGGGCTCCGGGGTGCGTAAGCATATGCCGTGAACAAGGGGTCTTGATCCAGTCCTTCTTGAGATAAGAAGAGCTGAACCAATTAAATTCAGCAGTTGAAAGCACTTAAAAATACTAAACTTAAGAAATGTAAAGTCAGCAAAAGAATTAAAGAAACTGTGACCTTATCAATAGTATAACCATTAGAATTAATCAATAATGAGAGAGTGTGACCAAAGAAATAACTGTAGATATATGACTGGACCCGAAGCTTCTGAAATTACAGTTTAAAAGCAAATTAATATATTTCACCTACAGTACATGTTTTTAATATTTTAGCTTACTAATTTTATTTCTTTAGCGTTATTACACCTTTTGTACTATTTTTGCGTCTGCCAGAAACAATCTTGAAATCATTGTCATATATTATATTAGAAATTATCAACGCAGCCATACTGCGTAAGGTTTTTCTTAATCCCAATTTGCGTCCCTTCGTGGTGTAATTACCAAGCATGTCCAGCTAGCATCGAAAGGTCTGGAGTTCGAGTTCTCGCGAAGACAGTACACATTTTCGAGTCTTCTGCCAAAATAAAATGCTTAATGGCAAGTGGTTACAGGTGGCTACAAGTGACGCCCGAAGAAAAAGGGGATGGAAGATAATTCTTTACCAATACGGTTGGCGATTGGGTTCCAACCTCTCCAGTCGGACTCTAAGTGGGGAGAATGCAAAGATTTTCTCCATCCTTATCGCATTTCGTGTAAACGTTCGGCTAACATCGAAAACTTCTGGAGGTCGAGTTTCGGTGTTCTGAGTTCCGTTTTTCATGTCTCTTGCTCCAATCTAAAATGTGCAGTGGCCTCTACAATTGGTTCCAGAACTAAAAGGTGGTAGAAAATAATTCACTGCTAGGATTGGCGATTGGGTCCGCCCTCTTCAATCGTCCTTTTAAGCAGGGAAGATTTTTCTCTATCCTTATTACGCGTCTTCGTGATGTACATGCAAAGCACGTTCGGCCTGATAGCCTACACAACTATACCGACCAACTTTATAAAGATGGTTATGGTTAAGGAAAACACTGAGATAAACGAAGAATTTCGGCATTATTATAAAAATTATTCATTTGTGATCATTAAAATTTGCATATTCTGGAAACTTGAACAAAGAATGATTACCTTAGGAAAATTATATCGCTATTTATCTATTATAATAATAATGTTTGTTCCATACATATTTAAATTAAAAAAAAAGAATGAATCATCTTTCACCATATTTTACCAGTTCATGCATCCTTTACATACTAATGCTAAGAAAATTTAAGTTACAAGTAACAATTAAAAAGTTTAATCAATTCAGTGCTACTTTTAATAAAATAACAAAATATATTTTTATATCAGTGCTAACAGTATTTCATAGATTGATTAAAATGTTTTAAACAGAAATACAATTTTATTGAATTCCATTCTTTATTATCTGTTTTTCTACTTTAATATAGTTGATCCTTTCACAAACGGGAAATAAGGCGCCGGCACCTCTCATTGTTCAATATCCCCATATGCGTCTCATTTTTTCAAAACGTCACTTTTGGCAATGTACCTTTAATAACTTTAACCGAAGGCTTGGCAATAAAACTGACGTTATATGAAACACAGCTTGTATGCTACGTGTTTCGCTCACTGTATTCTTAGGAAAAAGTTAGTTTCAGAAAACTGTTAAAAAAGTTTAAGAGAACGTATATTTATAATAGTGTGTTTCAGTCAAACCGTGTATTTATCTAAAGCCCGCGTTGTGGCGTGAGAAATCGTCTTGCTACCTTCATTTACATCAAAGCTGTTTTATGTGGTAAAATGTATAATGATGATATACTATGTACTCCTAAAACTAGGCGCAATAAACGAAAATACCTCGCAATACATGTGCACTCGTTTTTTGACAGTAAAATTGCATAATAGATATAAGTATATCCTGCGTACATGCATATATTATGCATGCATTAATGTAGGTGACTTTCTTAATGCTTTTGATATTAAGATGCGCATCTGAGCACTTTTCAAAGAATATTAAACCTCCAAAATTTACCAACATGCTTATTAAAACATTTCGTGATGAATAGAGTCATTCATTTCAAACTCACGTCGTTCAAGGATCAACTATATCTTCAAAATTACGACTCTTTTCTTCCATTACTCAACTTGGAACTTGATCAGCTATTATGTTTTTCCTATTCTTATTTAAATCATTTTTATGCGTATCTTAAAATACTCGTCAGACGTTTTGCATTTCTATTTCTTTTAATCTAAATAACTTCAGGAATTTTAGTTTAAACTGGGTCGATTTTTCAGCGATGTAAATAGTTTAAAAGTATGTTAAAACAGTAATTTAGTTTGTAATAAATAGCTTTAATAATTAAATAACTAATTTAATTTCAATACAAAGTATCAAAATTTCTTCATATCCTGTAAGTGCAAATAATTTTACTTTAAATTTCCAAAATCTAAAGTTAATTTGAACATACTAGATCAGCTTCACAGTAATTTTAAATTGATCATAATGAAGAAATATAATGAAATGGAAAGAGTATAATTTGTGTCACTGTTACAGAGGAATTACAGAAGAATGTCAGTTATCCTTTTAAAGTTTATGGCGCACGTGAATATTCATAACCTTAAGTATGCATACTTTTTATAGAACCATTGCGGTGAATAAAAGAAATCTACCAGTAATAACCTCTCGGCTTGAAAGCAGATACCTATTTACAAGTGATTGGCATCATTAAAGAATTCATTTCACAGGAGCTTATCAAAAGCTGTTGGCGTTATGATCAACACATCTCATCCTATCTTCAGCAAACAACTATCACTGTGGCAATATACCGCAGCATCATGCATGAATATGAAATTATTTATATGAAGACTGTTAACTTTTTTTCGTCCATGTTTCAAGTCAAAGCAAACACATAAGAAACCTGAATATTACTGCCAATTTTGGCAGCATTAATTGTTCATTTCATAGCTATATCTGTACAGAATCTTGTATTGCACATTCTATGTAGAATCCCTGCAGAAAAATGGCTTTAATTCTGTAAAAGTTTCAAGCATACGAAGATTGTGCTTTCATGACTAAATCTATGAATTTTATAACTTAATAAAACTAAATAACTTCCCATCATCACCGCTTCTTCTTCTTCTTTTTGTCTTTACGCTTAATAACTGTCTTTACACCTTTAATCATGTCTGCCGCTTTCTCTCCAATCATGATGATAGGAGCATTTGTATTTCCTGACACAATAGTCGGCATAATAGATCCATCCACTACACGAAGGCCATGCACACCCTTCACCCTAGAAAAGAATATACTAACGTAAGGAATAACTCAGATAAAATAAGTTAAGAAACTGTAATATATATCTGAAAAGATCTAAATTAATTGCGTAATTGCGATACAAAATCTAAATAAAGCATAAAAGTCTATTCCTTCACTTTTCAGCTGTTTAGAAACATTTTTCTATCTGACAACAAATAATTTTAATAACCAAGCTGGTATTAAGTAAAATTCACACTTTTGAAGAACTCAGCAGTGGTATACATTTAAAAGTTAAAGGAATTAAACTTCAATTAAATTGCAAAACTCTTACGTGACTTGATCACATTTCGACTTCACCTTTATGGAACTGGCAGTGTATTTCCTACAGACTATTAACATTTCACCATGTTGTAAAACTAAGAAAGACACGATGAATCATACCTAAATTTTAGTCAATTTTTAGGAGAAGAAAAGATGCTGAATATAACCATAGTTTTTAAATGTGTAATGTTCACAAATAGTAAAATTATATAAAAAATGTGATTTTTTTTTAGAAAAAATTCTCCTATTTGGATAGCATTATTTGCATATAAAATAACTAGTTGTCTAATGTTAATTGAAAGTTGTATTTCGAAGCCGTGGTTTTTAATAACTATTAAATAAAATCAAATACATCAAGATAAAAATATTTATAATCTGATATTAAATTTAAGATAATTTTGTAAATTTCTATAACTAGCTTAATTAATTTGATTGTAATGTTGTTTTGGTTATTGTTTTAACTACTTATTTGTTTACCTTTGCATTTAAGGTAAGAGTTTTAGGTTTATATATTGTGTAATTGATTTTGTGATCACATGTTTTACATACAAGTGTTTTCTTCTTGTATAGAACTGTAGTTTTTTCAGTTTTGAATCCAATAGGATTCAGAGTGTTAAATAGCTCAACTGTAACACAAGATATGGGCTAAAGCATTCCTGATGGGCTTTAGTGGCAAATTTGTCGCATAGTCGGTGAACTTGGAAATGTTTCGCCAATTTGATGACTCTCCGGAAGTTTCGTGAAAGCACATTTTAGAAACTAAGATCGATTTTTCAAAAGCTTTCAGACCCTTCTGCAACACTGCATAAATACGGCTCCGACAGCCAAGAGTAGTGTTTTATTTTCAGGAATTATTTTAGACCTAATGTAAAAATCGATTCTTCAGTTATCTGATGAACTTTTATGTATATTTCTCAGTGCCACTGACATGACTTGCATCTCCATTCCTTCTCGGATGTTAACTTTCAAACAGGTCACATGTTTTTTTTTTTACCTGTCCCATATCCCTTCAACAATAGTTGTATTTTTTTGGCCCCTCATATGATGAGATGCTTTGTTTTTCAACTGGTAAAAAAATAAAATAATAATAGTAATAATAAATTTAAAGTTGCTCACTGTTTTCATTGATCTTCTGGTTACTGGTTTGATGCCCAGACGTGAATTTGGGTATTTTAACCTACGAGGTCTATCAGCCTAAAGGAGAAGGATACTAAAGAAGACATTTTGGGAAACTGTCTTGTACTTATGTTATGCGTGGTAAAAATTAATTATCATACGTCTCTTTATGCTTATATTTTTTCCGTTCTAGCAAGACAAATGGTCTCTCTGGATATGAATTATATATACATGTATAAAATTATTCCTTCTAGAGGGACTTCGTCTGAAGATTTGATACTGTCATGTTGCCAAACAAGGCATAGTGTAATACTGAGTAAGTGCCAGCCTATGAAGGTTACATGCTCGTAAATATCTATAATAAAGAATGTTAGTTAAAAAGCATTTTAGTGTTTATTCTGTGAGTGTTTACGATATTTCTTATGCTCTAAAGATACTTTACATCACATGTGTGTTCTTCTTGACTATTTACAGATATCTACTTTGCTGTATAATTTTACTAAATAAATTTTCAGCTTCTTCCTGTTTATCAGAAGTGATTATTTAAAGAGAAATCCAGGAAACCCTAGATATCCACCAACAATATCGATTTCTATAATTGATTCAACAATTAAAATTTAATAGATAAATATTTTTGTTTCCCAGATAAAGAGGGAAATATATGTGTACTTAACATCTATAGAGCAATTAAGTAAACCAAAATTAATACTCATGTTTATCTCCGAATCAAATATCCGTGATCAAATACTCATGTTTATCTTCGAATGTCATCAAGTTTTTAACTCACATTTCATTGAACACCGTTTAACAGGGTAAATATGCAGGCTCAGATACGACCTCAGCTCATATTGTTAATAATTTTTAGATTTTATTTTTTGCTTGAGGTATCATAATAACTGGGAAAGCAAAAATGGATGTTGCCTCTCAGTGGAACGGCTGAATTAACGCAATTAAGAAATATCTGAGATCGAAGCTAATAAATCGATATGTTAAGCTTAATTATGAGCATATAATTTCAAGATGTTAAAATCTGAGTATTAAAATAGAAAATAATAAATAGATTTTGAACATATTCCACATACAAAAATATATCTTATCTTTGTATTTATTTCATTATATATGATAAATTTATTGAGAAATAAGAAGTGGTTTTGAATAAGTAAAAAAACAAAGAGAAAATACCTGAGTTGTGGATCGACGACTGCAGTTGGATCATCTGGTGCGCCCATTTTGCATGTTCCCACTGGATGATAGATAGTAGACGTGAACGTTCGAGCTACGCAAGCTAAATACTCATCACTATATTTGACATAAATTTCACAACCAGGAAATGTTGTTTCAAATCGGTGGCCTCCATATTTTTTGAAAGGCGGCGAGTCACCAAATGCAAGGCATATCTTCATTGCTACAAGACGAAAAGACAGAGTTAATTATCGAATTAATGAAGCTGAATAATTCATTCAATGCTTTCTTTTTACTTCAATTAAAAATCTCATAATTTTACAAATTATAATTATTTAACTATACATACAATAAATTATTCTTCATTTTCATTGAGAATTGCAATCACGACAGGAAAATTTAAAAAAATATTAATTTAGTTTAAATATCAAGCTGAATAACAATAAAAAAAATCTGATGTGTACACCACATGACTTCCTTGTACGGAATATTAAATTATACGCATTTTTTCTTGCATTTCATTTAAACTTATTAGATTGAATTAAACCTACTTCGCCGACACCGCATAAACCACAACAGAATAAATGCATTCTTTAAAATTCACTTTGTTTACCATAGCGACACTCTGGCGCTAGGTTTACTTAACAGTATTATATTTCGTTCATATTATAACTCAGAATGCACAAAATTTATATCATTTAAAGAATTATCTAATCGTTGTTTTATTCAAATACTATAATAAAGCTAGAACGATGTATAAAAGAAATTAAGAAAACGAAACAAAAAAGAAACGGTTTTTCACAGACGATTGAGTATTTCTCATTCAATTAATTCAGTTTTTACTTCGCGACAAGGCAAAAATACATAAAAACCTCAAAATATCTGTATTAAAAATTACGAAGTAAATCTTAAACGCTCATTTCCTCGAAAAAATTCCAGAAAGTATTAAGCATGATTTAAATAATAAATGAAAGGCGTTATCTTTGTTTTTGCGAAGCTAAGTTTCTCTAGATTGGCAACAAATCCGCTATCCTGCTGTTTCAAATGTAAACAAGAGCAATGGCCGCCATCAAAAACAGTATTAGGCTTAGCGGCACTTAAACAATTTTAAAATTGTTGATAATTCTAAAAATATTGTATACAGATTTACTAAAGCATAAAAACCTTAACCGGAAGATAAGAACAACATAATTCAATCATTTTTAAAAAAAAGCAAAAAATGTACAATTTACAAACATATAAGAGTAAAGCAACTGAGATCACTGAGCCGGGTAACATAGTGGATATATATATAAATATATTTATATACGTTTGGAGCGGCCGATTGCAACCAAAATACGAGGTGCACATCTACATGTTATTTGATTAACATTGTATATTATTTCTTAATTTTGCAATAATATGGCTAACTAGTACAGTGTGAATTGTAATCAAGATATAGAGCTACTGTATTTGCAGTAATTGTTCAATATGTCTGTATAAGTATTAGTATGAGGTTATGTGACTTTAATGCTTTTATATTTTGTAAATTTTGTACATGTATATAATAGAATCACAATGTAATGTATCCAATGTAAAATGCAATTCTAGCCGAGTTTGTACTTTTGTAGCTTATAGTACTAGAGTGTAAAGTTTCGTAGGCATTGTATTGTACTCGAAATTGTGCGATAGAAAAATGATCTAATATTATCGTATTATATTATAACCAGGTTTACTATGTCTTGCATTTATATAGGATATTTTATGTCTTGCAGTTAATATATTCTTCTATGTCTTGCATTTTATATATGATATTGTTACAATGTATAGTACTCAGTGTAAAATGTAGTGTGGTTTCTAGTGTAAAACATTGTAGTAGTATTGTAGTGTAAAGGAAGGAATTATAGCAACATTGTCCATGTTAAAGTAGTGGTAGTATAGTTAGCAGCGTAGTAGTTAAAATAGAACTTGAGTTTAACAACCAGGCAGTTATAGATACTAAAAACCTATGTAAAATAGTGAGTGATTATGAAACCTAAGATTTTGAAATAATAAATGCTGTCGGATCAGCGAGTCATGATTAGATAGCATCTGCCAAGTGGAAACAAATACCGTAAGGCTTACTATAGTTAAGGGCGGCAGTCCACTTGAGCAGCGTTCAGCAGTCCTATATACAAAATTTCAACGTTCTGATGATACTCGTTTTTGAGTTATGCGAGATACGTTTGTACGCACGTACGTACATGCGTTCGTACAGACTCCACGAAAAATTCTCTTCATAATTCATTTTAAAGCAGTTTTATAATTTTTTTGGAGGTAAAGAGTGTTTTTTTCCGTCCTTACGTACAGATATCACGGAAATACATCGTTAAATTGCATTTGAAAGAGGCCAAAATGGGATATTTTCGTTGAAATATGCTGCCTGAAACTTTTCGCGATTACAATACTTCCTTTTTACTTACAAGGAAGTGACAAAGTCCAACATTAAGAATCAGCGTAAGTTTGTAAAAATATTTTGTAGTACTAGTTTCGATAGTTTTTGAACTACCTTCATCAGTTGCCAAGTGCAAATGAACCAAATAGAGGACTTATTTTTCTTTACCCTTTACTTGGTTTATTTGCATTTGGCAGCTGAATAAGGTAGTTTAAAAGCTATTGAAACTAGTACCGCAAAAAATTTTAAAAAACTTACGCTGATTCTTAATGTTGGACTTTGTTTTTGAAATATTAATTTATATAACATGTAGTCATTAGTCTTTCACAGTTGCTTTGAGTCTGTGCAGCTTACTGTTAAATACATTTATTAACAGTATTTTAGAAATTATTAACAATATAGTCTAATTAATTTTCATATAAAGTTAATATTAACTGTATGAGAAGATAAGATCAAATTTTGAAGAATTTATTTTTCTTCTCTCTTTCGTTCATTCATTTGGTAAAGTTGTACGATGTCAAACATATTAGAAATATTAGTATCCTCCATTTTGGTAAGAATGGCATCTTAAGTACAAAACCATGAGGATAACATGAACGACTAGAAAAATTTTAATAATGATCTTTTATGAAATAGAAAATACGTAGTTTGAATGTCTCGACATACACTAATGTACACATTTAGAAATTACACAAACTTGGAAATATATTTCTCTAGCGATCTATTGATAAAATATATTCCATAGATCTACACCTATGATCTATTTTCTGATTTCAAGCTTTCACAATGCAAGCATTCAAATCCGTGGCTTTGCTTTCAGGAACCTTTGGACAATCTAATACACAGCATGAAAAATCTCTATAAAGCTTGCACTGCGGCCACAGGTGAACAAACCATGATTAGATCAGCAAGTGTTTCTATATATTAATGTCTCAACAGCAGTAATACCAAGTTTTTTCCCTTCGCACTTTATATCACATTCCCTATGTTCTTTAAAATTATGTTTTTTTTTTTCCCCCAGAAAAAGACAATTTTACATTTTCAAGGTATCCTAGGAACGGCAACATAAATATCTGATGCAAAAATCCTTCAAATTATATGAGTTTCTATAATTTTTCCATCCAGCTTATTAATGCGGGTATTTAGTTGTCTTTTACATCAAATTACGTAAGTTTACAGTTTTTGCGGTTGCTTGCCATAATGTCAAAAGTCGAGATTTGTTCTGTGTTGTCTTTGATGTGAAATACTTGACACGGCAGAATATTTTATTATTATTATTACTGTCATTTTAATTGAGCCCATTTTTTCTGTAGTACAATTAGTTCTACGTAGCCGATAAAAACATCTTATGAAATCGTTTTAAACCAATGTACTATTTCAGAATCAAATTACAATTACATATAAAATAAAAGCTGAATAATAATTTCTCTTTTTGCCTTTTTTAAAGTGCCAATCGTCTTCGCATTTCTTTAGTTAATTGAGAAACATTATTGTCTTTTTTTTTTTTTTTTTTTTAAAGTGAAGCGGCGTCAAATGAAGGATACGCGATAGTTAATTTAAAAAAATTCTTAAATTTAATATTCCTTACGCAGAGTGAAATTGGGAATCAATTTTCAAAACTGAATATCTTGAAAGGATACAAAATATTCTTCTACTAATTCAAAAGAATAAGTTCTACCTTTTTGACTCAGTGACTTATATTTCATTTATATTTTATACATAATATCCTCTTTACATAACTTCTTATTATAAGGCTATTAGTAAAATAATCACCCCCAGTTAGATGTTCTTTGCATATTATAACCGAGATAGCAAGCTAAAACAAAAATTTTCATATAACCAGATATTTATTGAGGATTTTTAACTTCGTATATTGAACATATAAATTTAATTAATATTAACGTATATTAACGTAAATTATATTAAAAACTCACATTCAACCATTGTAAGAACATCTTGAGGGTGGGTCAAGTATCTCGGGTCGATGATAGGAGGATCATATGGGTCTGCAGATCTTAGCTTCAGATAACCTCTACTTTTCGGCCTCAGCAGTACAGGACAGAAAGTGTAAGAATCCCTGTAGGCATATGGTTTGTAGACTTTCTCCCACATCTAAGAAATGCAAAAGTCTTATTAGAATCATAGATTATGCTTCACTGAAAACTGCTGCAAAATTATTTAAATTCTAAATTATAAAAATATTCATTCTGTAACACATATTTTAATGTCATAGCTGAAGGTAAATTATCATTTTCTCTAAAAGCAGTTAGACATATTTCAGAAAATATATGAACATTGTTAGATAGACGTAAATTGTGCCATAAAACAATTTTTATAAAAATATTCCTCATTTAATTAAATGGAAAATATAGTCACGACTAGTCCTTTTTATCAGGATTAGAGTGCTATTTATTTGGCTGTTGAGAATAATCAGTGGCATATGAGTGAGTTGAAATTCTGCACTTATAGTTCTGCACTATATAGACGAGTTTCACGTTATACTATATCTATTTGATTTATTTAATTACTTTGATCTATTGTTAGTTTAATCTCAATATGCTTATCAACATCTTTGATATTTTTAATAACACATGTAACATAACTATTTAGCCATAACCGAATTATTTTATTAAGCGCCATCTAGTGGCGAATAGGAACAATTTAAGACAGTCGACCTTCAGCCGCGTTACACACATATTTTTTAAATCAATAATTAAAAAGCATATACTTCAAAATGTGGTTAGAATGATAGAAAAGAAAATATTGAAATGATTCAGCTTTGTTATTTAATCAGTCGAGTAATTTGTAAGGTATTTTCTCCCTTGTTTCTGCATGCCTTCGTAGTGTAATGATTAGCACACTTAGCACAAAATAACTTAATGACTCTACAGCAGTGCTCCGCAACCTTTTCTCACCTGCGACGTACAAAAAATCTTTCTGGAATTTCGTGGCACACCAAGAGTTCTGAGTTACCAAGGAAGTGCCGAAAAAATTCAAATGCTGACACACTTACAATCACACACACAACCACACAACAGTGAAATATATAAAAACATTTAAAATAGACATTATTAAGGGAAAAAAATTGTCATTGTGTATTAAATACATGATAAAAAATTGCAAAATGTCAAATACATGTATTTGATTGCGGCACACCTATATCCTACTCATGGCACATCGGTTGCGGAGCACTGCTCTACAGTAGCGCCCGAACTAAAAAGGGGGTGGACGACGATTTTTCATCACCAGGATTTGGCGATTGTTTTCCTAATCCCCAGCCGACCTTTAAAAGGGAATATGCAAGGTATTTCCCCTCTTCCTTCTGCATGCCTTCGTGGTGTGATGGTTAGCACACTCGGCGCGTATTCGAGAGGTCCAGATTCAAGTCCCAGCGAGGGCATTGCAAATTTTTCGCTACTCCAGCATCTAAATAACCTAATGACTCTACAATTATTTTTCTCCTTTCGTAGCAAAGCTTTAATTTGAAATAAAATAATGCAAAGAGATTATATCATTGTTCCGATTCATTAATTTAAGGTGGGAAAAAGATTTAGTATAAAATTCTGTATTTAAGTATTTTTAAATGGTAAATTAAAAAATATATATATCACCACATACAATTTTTCTGTGTATGATTTCCATATTAAATATGTACCTTCTTGCTCTTGATATGTTTGGTATATTTGGATTATGACGAAACGAATGAAGGTTTTCAGTCTATGCTTTGTGGTGGATTTTTTAAGTGGCTCATATTCACGTTACACATGAAGAAAATTCACGAAAACTGTCATGCAGCCAGCCTCTTCACCAAGATTTGAACGCAGATCAAACTACCAGTGTTTAGGAACTTCACCGCTTGGTCACTGGTGGACTGAAAAGCTCTTAAAATTAGTCTAATGCAGTGGTTCTCAACTTTTTGACTAATGCGTATCATCTAAACAAAAACTGAAAACCTTTAGTACCACCATTACAAAGTACTACCAACACTACTCTTGAACAAAGCTCAGCTCGCATAAATTTACGAGTGTTAAGAAGAAAAAAAAAAAAAAAAAAAAAAAAAAAAAAAAACTCAATCAGGATGTTGGGGTTTTAATTTTTGAATCAATAGTTAAAAATACTTTGCTTCTTTGCGTGCTCTTGCCTACCACCGGTTGAGAACCCCTGGTCTAATGGGATGCTATGTGTTGAACAATATATTAAAGAAAATGTAAGTTTCGATACTAGTAAACACGAAACTGTGGTGAAATACAGATTTACATGTTTGTTACATGCTTACATGTTTTATCTTCATACGACTGTGAAATATTATGAATATAACATAAAAATTTCAATGAGGAAGGAAATGAAATCTAAATCATTATAATCTAAATGCATAGCATTAGTAATATCCTAGTCTTGTTGAAAAATTTAAAAAAAATTATAAATCAGGTGTATAATAAATAACATGAACTCGGAGTATTATAAACTATAACAATTAAAAATATTATTAGTGTGATTTAACGACTGTCTATCTTTACAAATAATTTCATTAAAGTCTGAAATTAAATTGAAAATAAGCTGCATATTAAAGATTAACCTGTACGATGGAGTTAGAAAGATCTTCTGTTAACTAGAGTTATGATGCAAAAGTTTATAAAAATTATAATTCAAATAGGAATTATCATGATTACAACACAATAAGTTTTACATGCATGAAAATGTGAAAATATTACAACAATTTATGCAATAGAAACAAATAAAAGTGGTTTAAAACGAAATGGATGAAGAGGAAATTAAAAATCTCAAGATATGAAATATAAGGGAATTTGAAATTTCTTCTTTAAAAACTTTAGACTTTAAAGAATTTAAATTTTTTTAAACTTCTGAAAATTTTATTAAATATGAAAATGCTGCAGATGATAAAAAGTATCAATTATAACTAATTAAATGTGTATTATAAATTAAATGAGTTCAAAGTATATCGGTTAGATTAATTGGGAAATAAAATAAATATTTAATAGTTTCTAATATTAAAATACTGAATCTATAATAAATGTAAATAATTTTAAAGTAACTTTAATAATTATCTAGTCAAGAGACTGATTTAAGCTAAGCTGCAAATTAATAATAGTATCTTCTCTCAAGTTCGAAAATTTATAGCTTATATATAGTTAATTTAAGTTTTAAACATATCATTAATCTATCAGTTTTATGTGTGTCAAAAGTGATTATATATATATGTAAGATAAAATATATGAAAGCAAACTTCTAAACTTAATTCACTATAACTTCCATTATTTTCTATTTCATTTGAGAACTTCCTCTATCTGTCCTAAAAATAGCGCTTAAGTCTAAACTGCGTCATTCAAATTAATCATGCGATCTTACTTAACCCATAATGCAGATCCCTCTCGACCAATCACCAAATTGTAAACCAAAACTTTTCTCTTCGCGTGCTTCCATCTTTCATAACTACGCACTTCAGCTTTTGCTCGCTACTGTGCTAAGATGTGATTTCGCTGGCTTGCTTTCCTTCTCAATTATATCAAAAATGTAATGTTCTTGAATAGGCATAACTAGAGTGCCAAGGTGATTGTGGCCACAAATATCAATTGGAAATAAAAATGGAATTAAAATCGCTTCTACTGCCAAGTTTAATTTACGAAGTCAACACATTTGCTTACGACGCAATCAGATTACTTCCTCTTCAATATAGGATAATAAGCATCTACAGTGCTCCGTCCTTTTCCTTTGTGCATTTATTATGACATATATATATATATAACAGTAGTTAAAAGCTACCACTCGGAAATTTTTGAATTCCTGCGAAGTTTAAAGAAGTTCTGACTCGTTATTTTTTAAGCATAGTAAAACTATAATAGGAATGCAAAAGAAACTCCTTTTTACTTTAGAGTATATCAGATTTTTTATTTAATATTTGTTTCATATGCACAGTTTTCACAGTATCTGGAAAACGAAAATAGAGGCTTGTAGTCTCAATTAAATATCCCATTTATATGGATAAATGACATTTTGTAGCAACTATGTACTTCTTTGGAATTCAGGTTATTAGAAAGTGTGTGTGTGTGTGATTATGGCAAAGCCTCGAGGGCTATCTGCCTAAGGGGAGGGATGCCTTCGTGGAGGACTTTCTAAGGGAAACTGGCTCGTATACACGTTACACATGGGGAAAACCACGAAAACGGCCATGCAGCCAGCCCGTTCGCGGGATTCGAACCTCGGACCGAACTACCAGTGTTCAGCGACTTTACCGCTCCGCCGCTGGTGGGCCAGGTTATTAGAAAGAGAGGGAAAAGAAAAGCAAAGTCGCGCACTAGTGGTTTTTACTTTGTTCACTTTTCGTATATTAAGGTGAGGGATGGAAAAGTTGGCTATTGTTCGTTGATGACTGGGAGATAAGGCTCTCGTCAATTAAATTTCGCGTATTTGGTAGACTACCAATATATCTTGAATCTTAAGTTGAGAAGACATTAAAAGTTCAGGTGAAATGAATCTTCCACTTCATAAATACACCACAGCAAACATTTCTTATCCGTCTAAAAATTCTCTTCAATTTTATTGAACATTTCATGTAGTCGATTTCATGTTTCATTCCAGCTAGCTAGTTCTGTGTCGTTAATTTGAAAACTAAAACTTTAATTTTATTTATTCCTGAACTATATTAGTTTAGCTAAAATACAGACTTCTTCAAAACGATTATCAGGATTTCAAAAAGCTGTAATTTTGAGATCTGCAAACATGAAATGATAGTAATACATGAAATGAAACGGAAAATGTCCAAAGTTTCATTGAAACTGCTTTACATGTTTTTCCATAGTTACTGGAATATTTTCAAATTGGTAATAAAATTTTCGTTATATTTCCCTTATCGTTGTATTCGTAACAGTATAATGGTGAGGTTTTGATGTCATGTAAGATATGCATATATGTATAAAGGTGGTACGAACCAAAATTTTTTAACATATTTAAAATAAAGGAAAAGCGCATAGCATTAGATCAGAAGGCCAGTCATAGACTATATTATGTCGCGGAGTTTATTTGTAACTGCCCGAAATTCCTTCGTTAAGAGAACGCAACGTATTTGGGTAATACAATAAAACCTATATAGTTTCATTTTTCCTTTTATATGCATCATTGGAATTTTATTTAATATATATGAGTTACTCCGTTAATAAGAACGGAATTATATTCGTCTGAAATTGGATATTTAATTTTCAGTAACGTTTATATTTAGTTAATCTAGTGAAATTTAAAGGTGAGTTGCAATATGATGGCATGCTAATCAGAATAAATAGCGCATACCTATTTTTAAATAATTTACCTTGCGTGTCTGATATTTTAATCTATGCTAGGTTTCTACCCCAACAATAGCCTGACCTTAATTTCAAGATTTTAACCAATGCTTAATTAGGTGATTACAATATTTTCTACGACAGTTACAGCATGACCTTAATTTGAAGATTTAACTAGTACTTAATATTAGATGAATAAAGTGAAGATTAAATAATTTTCAGATTACAAAGAGTTTCCAATTAACAGTGGAACCAAAATTGAGTCTATTAGAAGGGGGTTCTTTAAATGCATACTCCTCTCTTTTAAATTCAATGCAATATGTTAGTTCTTTTTCAATTGCATATGGGAGACAAAATCTGTATATATATATTATCTGTATCTATATATTATATATATATATATATATATGTATTAAGAAAACACTTTTGACATTTCTTTCAGTTTAGAAACTGGGGATTTACTCACTATCTATTTAATTTAACACATGCGTTAAATCAGGAAGTGCGGAAAGATAATAGCTGGATACAGGTTTTTACACATTTGTGGACACTTGTCTACACTACGTATCTGGCTGTGCATATTAAACTACTTCCTCTCTTTTTAAAATTCTTTTTGTGGCATACACTTCTTTTCTTTGTAACATAAGCATTTTTTTAATTTCATACAAAATTACTCATTCTGAGTTCTGAACCTACCTCCCGTCTCTGTCCCATGACACGCTGAAATGTCTGACCACCATCCGCAGCTGGTGATCCGGAAAGAAAATGGATTTCTACATCTGGGTAGTCTTCTGACTTATTGGCATATTTAGTATTCACGAAGCCTAGACCTTCGACACCTCCAAGGACAGTTAGAGGACCTGGGAGATAAACATAATGATATGAAAAATATATGAATTATACATAAAGACACTAGAGATATAGGACTTTTGTTCCACATCCATGGTTCTCATAGATATAAACCATTTTACGATCTGTTATAAATTTTTAACAGCATAGAATTGCAGTTTTATATAAAACTTTAACTGTATTGCATGGATAACTTCTTAAGTTATAAACTGTGCTCTATATTTTGCCATAACTTTATTGTAACGTAATTGAATGAATATATAATGACTTTTTTAACTATTTACTGGATTAAAAATGCTACATAAATTGCACACAGAAGGGGATAAGAAATTCTCGTTTGATAGCTCTGAAATAATGAGTATGTTCTGAGATAATGTTACTGAGCCCTGGCAGATACGATACAAAAGTCTTGATCCAGTCACATGATAAAATATTCATTGCACTAGGAACTAGTATTAATGGAGGTATAGACGCAGTGTAATCTGCAAACATGTATTGATAGTAATACATGAAATGAAACGGAAAATGTCCAAAGTTTCATTAAAAATGCTTTACATGACTTTCCATAGTTAGGGGAACATTTTAAAATTGGTAATAAAATTTTCGTTATATTTCCCTTATCGTTGTTTTTGTAACAGTATAATGGGGAGGTTAACAGTAGTTATTTATTTTTTCTGGTTGCGGGCTTACCGGTCGGCATTTATCTGGTTGCAGTCTTTCAGCTATGCGTGCTATTAAAGTGAACATATTGGCAACCTCTATACATAAATTATCTTGCTGTTACAATGGAAGGGTTAATACAGTTAAAATTTTAAAACAAGCCTTTAAATAGAAAACTTTTATCCTATAATTCCAAATTTCTCCTTCTAAATTTTCTTTCTTTGTTCTTGTCATTTTCTCTTTCTTTCTTTTCCATTCTTTTTATAATTCGATTTTATATCAAAGCCCCTGAATGATGTCGACTCCTACCAGATAATGATATGAGGATTGCTGTACCGAATGCTTTTATTTAGCAATAACAGATTTCTATTGGAAAAGTATCTTTAAATTAAGCCACTAAAGGGCAATCTGCCTTAAAACTAAGATAAGTTTTTTAAAATAGATTGTGCCTGATAAGGCCGTCAGACGAAAGCTTTTTCATTCAGACTCCTTAAATCAAAACCTACAAGGAAAAAACTACAAAATCCCTTCAATAATGCCACAAAATTAACACTGATGTAAACGTTTAGAGGGGAAACATTGGGAAATATAATTAAAAGTCCACTAAATATGTGCGGATTTCTCATGATACTTTACACTGCAAATGAATTTTTATAGAAAATTCATTAGGAAATAAAACTAATTGAGAAAGGAACATGAGTAAAATTCTTCTTGTGTTAAGAATTAGTAAGAATTAGTAATAAAACATGAGCACAAACGCTTCTCGAGTTGACTTAAATATCCAAATTTTAACTACCACAAAGCAGTTTAGAATTGCATTTAATTTTTGAACAATTTTACCTCCTGTTTTATAGCCAAGAGAGTAAATATAGTTCTTGTCGCAGCTTAGCTTATGCTCGTTTTAGAAAAATTCATGAAAAATCAGGGATAATAAATAAACGCATGTCCAAAGGACTCGTGGGTACCGAGGTGACAGTATGGTTTTCTCAGATACACTCATCCATTTCTGCCTATGTCAGAACGAGGACGAGTCACAGAAACGAGTGTCTTGTACCCTTCCTTTCCTGTTAAGCAGTCACACGTGACTTATTGGTCCTTCTACAAAAAAAAAACGTGAATAACCATAACATATTCAAGTTTAACGTCCATGCTCATGAGTGTTACAGCCTAATCCATGAAACACCGCATTTAACAAATGGGTTTATAAGTACTGAGAATTCTGCGAAGATGTAATAGTAGCCCTAGTCAACAAAGAACACGCATTTTTGAATGCAGGTTTAAAGTTGAAAGTGACAATATAATGCAACGAAACTTTCTTAAGAAGACCATTAGGATTCCAAGTGACTTTTGTTTTCTGAGGAGAAGGTCATCTGACAGAACGCGAATATCTTTAATGATCTGTACGTTTATTTAATTATAAGAACATCATTTAATAAATTTATCTAAACTGTCCTATGTTACAAACTTAATATTATAAACAGTATAGTATGATTGCAAAATTATGCCGTCCAAACAGCAATTTTTCTGAGCAGAATGAAATCTAATTTTTATAAGCTAATTTATCAAATTTTGAATGTAATTTTATCTGTAATAGTCTTTATTTAGAATTATTTTTATTGCTATGAAGATTATCAGAAGTATTTATTCTTGACATCATACTTTTATTTACATTTCATTAATTCTAAAATTTTCCGTTTTATTGCAAAGGCACTTGATTATACATCATCGGCCTCCATGAATCAAAGATACACGAGATCGGAGTATGAAAAAATACAAAAAGACAAAACAGTAATTAACCTCATTACAATAATCATATCTACATCAAAACTGAGAAATGGAATAAGAAATGACTACATTAAGCAATAATAATAATAATAAATTATTCTCTGGATGTCAACTGCATCAACTCTCTAGTCCGGCAATATCGATTGTAGGGGTTTTTCTTCCTTCAATGAGGACCATTTTAGAAAATGATCTCTATCCATCTCAAAATTCTGGTCGCGCAAAGTGCACAAGGAACTGTCATATATATACGAATGGAGTGCACATGTTTGACGAGACAATCATGTTCGGTCGTTAATTCAAAAGTACATTCCTTCATCTGAGTTCGAATTTGTAGTATCATACAGAAAAGGAGACAGACGATATGAGTATTCTAAAGTTTGTTCAAAATCTAATTAAACCTTTTTGGCAAGCAAACTTAAATTTAAGAAATAAACAAAGCTCTTACCTCTTCCAATTGAAAGATAGCGAATGATTTCCTTCAAAGTAAAAACTCTTGGCTGTACAATGGCAACAGGCTCTTTCACTAAATAATGGATACCACCAGGATAAATGTGATCTTGTAGATTGTATCCGACTGGAAGATCAGCAATGACTGGGATCTACACATAAAATACAAATAAAATCAGTTTGATTACGGAACCGTACTTGGAAATTTCTTTTTCGGGCTACAAAAATTACCCTCTTGCTAGTAGTAATGTAAAGTTGTATAAAACGCTTTATTAATGACCGGATTTAGATTTGACAAGATCCTAAGCTATTTGAGATATGGGGCTCTTTATGAGGGATGTGAGACATTTTTTGTCTTAATACAGGATATAGTACAATTTTTGAAGGTGACACTAAGAAAGTGGGGGCCATAAACTATAGCTTGTGCAGCTTATACGTAAATCCGGCAATATAAAAGCCGCTTCATTGTTTATTTATATATAATAAAAGTTAAGATAGTGAAGTTAATTTATTTAGTTACGGCGAAATTCGAAATAATTTAAATAAATTTATATATCATAATTTTAATAAATTTAATAAACAATTCGAATTATTTCCAATAAATAATATATATACTTTTTTGAAATAATTATTTCGAATAAATATTATATACACTTATTCGAAATAACTTTAATAAATTTATATATCATAATTTTTGTATCAATGTATCAGGCAAATGATATTAACTGAGTACATTAATTTCTTGATAAGTGAAGCTTAAACTCGAGAATTCCATTTTAAAAGCTTAGTTACTAGATATAAAAATCTGTTTTTCTCTGGCTGCCCTGTGTATGTTAGAAACATCTTTTGTTGATTCAGTAATATTGTGAAGTTTTATTGAAAACAGAAATTAGCTATTATATAGCAATTATATTAGAAACAATATAAAAGTGAAAATTATAAACGAGAATATATGCTACTTTTAAACAGGATATTTTTTTATGGTGGTCTGCATAAGAGATAAAAGAAACATATTACAGCACGTGGAATGCAATAGCTCTCAGTAGTGACAGTTCGCCACAAGGGGTGGATGATTATTTCTTCGAGTCTGAATGGAAGATTTACGAGGACACTTTTTACAGGCATCACAGCTCTCTTGGTACTTGTTATTTCATTTTTTTTCATCGTATGAAACATTCTGCAACCAAAAATGCCCACAAAAATACGAAGACTATCCATTCATCGTGAAATTAATATAAAAAGCTTTCTTAGACAGACATGCAAATTGTAGAAAAGTATATAGCAGTGAATCCACTGAGAAAAACTTAAGCACATAAGAAACGCTTATACTAATAACACGTAGAGGTCTGCTCGGCTGCTGTTTTTCAGATCGAATTTATTTGGTAAGTTATTACAATAGTGCTTTTGCATTAATAAATCGTAATGCTCTGAAGATTTATCTGATGACAGTACAGCTAGCTAAGCCGCTCGACAGATGTTACATTGCCGTCTCCATGGAGGAGTCTGATTGAACCAACGAATAACCGGTACAGCGGTCGGAGCGGTGGCATAATGAGATAATGTTGGAATTAGTGTTGCTAAGAAGGTTCTGTAGCCGTTATGTGGGTAGCAAAAGGTAATATCTTGCGATTCACTAATGTCTTGCGATGGAAGTTGTAAAGAGTATACATTCTTAGATTAATTATGGTTAATATATTGTTAAATATCAATGTACAAATTATACCCCTTGATAGAAGCACAAAAAGTGCAACATGTCAAAGAAAATGTACCAAATAAATAATAACAATTTGTAAACTTCTTATAGAGGCTTCGTAAAGGTACCATCTTAATCCTTATGATTTATATAAAGACTTTAGGTCGGATGTCATCTCGGTGGAGAGTAAAATAGAGTTTCTCGGGGTGAACTTGATATAGTGGATAGTTGTTATAAATATATAGTTATATGACCTTTTCATGTATAAACTGTATTTAGGTGAGTAATAATTTTATGTTATTGACGTCGTAAATGTACACGATGATAGTCTATTCATGAAAAACTTGATGCAACTGCGAAGGGTAGATGACTTTTATTCTTAATAAACTATTTTGATACAAAGATATCTAAACTGACACCTTTATTTAAATAGTTACACTGATTTCTTTTGCATTCTGAAAATGGAATGGCAGCCAACAGCCTACTTCTAAGACAGAAAAGCTGATTAATAAATTCAAGATGTCTAGTTAAAGGGATAGATTCAGAGTAAATCAATTTCGGTTCGTCTTAACTGGTAAATTAAGTTTCAGTTCACAAAATTTAATATTATCATCTGCTGAAACTTAATATAAATATCTGGATAATTAGCGTTATGTAAAGATTATGTGAGAAAGATTAATTTTGAAATGACATAGTTTAGAAAGATTTATTGTAAGCAAGTTACTATTTATAGGACATGAAGGCGAACTAACCAATTAAATCGGCTGTTGTAAATTAAAGTTGGTTTTTTTTAAAATCTTTCCTATTTTTCTACCTCCCTTTTATATATATTATATGTAAGACCAAGTTAAGTTTTATTGAGAATTCTGTCTCAAACAAAGGCCACTACGCGGACACAGACCTTATCCTCCGCACTAAGCAAGAGGACCTGGAGATAGTCAAAATCACCTCGGAGAAAGGAATATATAAATTCATTTGCTACGAATCACGGTCTCAATTTCAGAAAGCAGATTTTTTAAAAGGACTCTCTCTTTGACCCCCAACGCTGAACCGGCACACTTGGATGTTGTCTCATCTAGATATTTTCAAGCAAGGAAGTAACTAGGAGTCCGTGTTATTTCACCCTCCCGCTACCCACTCGGATGGCGGAAATCACTACCGTCCGACAGTAAAGACAGCATAGGCTGCCTTTACTGGAAGTAGGAACCAGGTTCATGTCATTGTGCCCCCAGAGCCGGTACTGTTATAGTATGCTACTAAGCCAGCGTATGCAACTTGCGGGATATATGCAAGATAAAGAATTTGTAAAACATATGTGGATACAGTCTTTGTAAATGCAGAGTGCTTTAATAAAGCAGATTTAACTCAAATACTGTTTAATGTTAATGGTAGACATATTGGAACATTTTAATGCGTTTCAGTGTCTCTAAACCCACACATTCCTCCCATTTCCTTTTCCTATTACATCTTTTAAGCATAAGTATATGCATTAGGATAAAAATTAACCCAACTTGTCAGAATTTCAAATAAAAAAGTGTACATATTATCCATTGACTCTCATTATTCAGTGTATTTTCCAAGGTCATTTACCAGATGGCGTAATTAAAATTTATTTTATTTCTGCCTTTCAAAGAAATAAGTTACAGATGTAGAATCATTTTTCTCCTTATTTATTTAATATTTTTCACTACAAAGAATAAGCTTAAGTAGCCATACATTAACCCCATTTCCCCCTTATTACATCTTTTATACATAAGCAAATGTATTAGGATAAAAATTAATCCAACTACACAGAATTTCAAATAAAAATGTGTGCACGTTATCCAGTGCTTCTCTTAGATAAATAGCCAGCTGTATTTTCAAAGATCAGTTACCAGATGGCGTAACTAAAATTTATTTCAGGATTGCTTATCTGGTTTTGAGAGAAATGATTTTTAGGTGTAGAAGCATTTTCTTTCTGAGTTTAACATTTTGCTTCCATTCAGTACCATTCAGTTTACTGAGTATGTTAATTTTTGATTAAAAAGAAAACTGAATACATAATTAGATCGTTTCGGTACACCACCTGACTTCCGGACAATAAACCATCGCGTGAGACTAACTTTCATGACAGCAGAATTTACCTTTTGCTGCTTTGGACCCTATGTCATGGTTTGTGGAGCAACATGTCAGGTCATGTTTCTATTTGAGATTGAGAAAATTTTCTTGTAAACAACGAAGGAAATGATAAAACTTTTGATTTTTTTATGCGTGTCTGAAGATGATGCATTTACTTTTTATTGAATTAATTAGATTTATCAAGCGAAAACGCTTCCGTAGCACAAAATATCGGCATCATCGGCCCATTTCACGTCGAAATAACACCGTTCAACGAGGATGCGATATTATGAAGAAAGAAATTTTATTACCTTTTTTCGTAATATCGTTTGCTCGTTTCACGGTGTTATCGACAACGAATTTTCTTTTATTCCAGATTTCACAAAGTGTAAGGAAAAATGATTTTTCCTTTGCAAGAATGAAGACTAAATTTTACTTCTTTCTTGGAGCTGGTAACTCGTTTACTGTTTCATTCTTCATTTATAGAATTAGTTATTATTGCAAGGTCACAGAATATTACAAATTAATATAAACATTTCTAAAAAAATTACCCATTCAAAATATCAACTGCACTTGAGCTGGGGCGCCATCATCTCGCGCAGCATATTTGCGCATAGTTTAAACCCTAAAATTTTAATTATTAATAATAGAGAGTAATAATTATTATTAATCAATTATTGTCGAGAAGTATTATTGATAACAATACAGCAGATTGACATATATTGCTGTATTGGTGCAATAAAATGAGCTAGGCATGAGGTCTTGAAGACAGAAAATCATATAAAAGAGTGTATTTATGGAATTGTATTATATTGTAAGATATCGTGAATTAGAACTGTTTGTTTACAATAGGAATAGACTATCCGTAAGTAACTGCTTTTAAAATATAAAATATTGTAGATTTTACATATATTACTAATTTTGATATTAAAAAAAACGTGATATGAGAAAATGGATTGTTACAGATTAAATTATTCATATATCTATAACGAAAGAAGCATCATTATGATTACTCTGTAATAAAAAGCTAAATGTTGTCGAAAGATTTCAGTAATCTAGACTAAAAACTTTTAAATGATTACAGTTATTACTGAATATGCGTGGCGAACAGTATTACGTGCATATGCGCAACAGAATCCTGGCGTGATCGCTGGATTAAAAACCAATCTGTTCAAGAAAATTCAATTTTTCACAACCATGGTTTTGCCCGAAATTGTTGTTCTAGTTTAGAATTTGTAATCTTGAAGTCTTGTAAATTTGAGACCTATAAACATAAAATCTTGGTTTAAATCTTCACAGCTAAAAGTTCAACAAATTTAAATAGCATTTGGGGAATGAATATTCTTTTTTTATTCATTTAGA